TAAAAAGTAATCACAAAATGTCAAAAAGAAAGTTTTTATATCTATAACAATGAGCACTAAACTTTCTAGTTTTTTTTCTATTTTTTACTTAAGTCAATTATATACTAGATAAAATTTACTGCAAAATAATAATAAATTTCTTTTACTATCAAAATAATAATAAATTTAATAAGTAGAAAACTAATTTGAAAAAGTGTATCGATTTTTTTTTCTTTAAATTGCATAAAATACGCACACGAGTTGGCAAATAAATTGCCTTTCTGGTTTATGGATATGAAACTGGCGCTATATGACTTTCTTCGAACAGCTCGTTGCGTCCAAAGTCATTTCTTTTATTGTCACTAAAGCATAAAAGTATAGTTGTGGAATAGCTTTTGCGAGGAGATTTGCTGCAGAAAACCTATTATTAAAACAGGGGAAACACTGTAAAATTTAATCCCAAAACGGTGGCAGTTGAAACTGAAAATCAGGCATTTAGAGAATATATCGTAAAGAGCACTAAAAGCTAAGCACATGGATAAGAGAACAAACTTATTTAATTAACACCATCCTATGAGGGAGAGTAAGAGAGAGAGAGAGAGTGAGTAGTACGCGTGCTAGGTAAACACTCCGAAATTGCCTGCTATCTATGCTGCATAGCTCTAACATTCAGACGTAATTACAAGTGTCTTGAATTTCACATAAGTATGCGCACTCAACTCTGTTTTATCATTCAACGAAAACTTTTAGACAAATCAAAATTACAAGTACACATTTTGGTTATTACATGTGTAAATATTTAATACACAACTTGAGCAGAAAATAATCCTTTAGAAACAACGAATTATTAATTCATGCAAATTATTTCAAAATGATGTATACATATTTTATTGCCTCATTAAATTTTATTAACTTCTTGTCGCGCATAATTTACTTAACAATTTTTTTTTCATTTCTTATTCAGTAATTATTTGGTGGCATTTCGATATAATTTTCGCAAAAGTTACCTGAGTCTGACCAGAAATGAATTTTACTACTAAAAACTATTGTCAAAGAATAATAATCTTGCTTGCCTAAAAAGGACTTTTATTGATGAAATATAAGTTTAAAATAAAACTGAACAGTTCAGTCTGACTACAAATGATTTTTACAACTAAAAGGTAAATTTAAATAGAGGCCTCTTTTAATAAATAAAAAAAAAATTTGTCTGACTAAAATAAAAATTTACTACTGATAACAAAACTGACGTGTGTCTCACCAGAACTGACTTTTACTACTGAAAACTATAGTCAACGAATAATAATAAGAATTTTGCTCGTCTAAAGATTACTTTTACTACTGAAAAGTGAATTTTAATAAATAAAAATATTTTTGTCTGACTAACATAAAAATTTACTACTAATTACGAAACTGACCTGTTTTTGACTAGAACTGACTTTTACTACTGAAAACTATAGTAAATGAATAATAACAATTTTGCTCGTCTAAACATTACGTTTACTACTGAAAAGTGAATTTTCATAAATAAAAAAAAATTTGTCTAACGAAAACAAAAATTTACTACTGATTTCAAAAGTGTCCTGACATTTACTAGAACTGAGTTTTACTACTAAAAACTATAGTCAAAGAATAATAATAATGTTGCTTGTCTAAAAATGACTTATACTAATTAAATAAGAATTCAAATAAAAATGAACATTTTAGTCTGACTAGAGTAGATTTTTACTACTGAAAAGTAAATTTTAACAAATAAAACGAAATTTCGTCTGACAAGAATTTAAATTTACTACTAAGTACAATTCTTAGACTACAACTAATTTTATACTACTAAAATGTAATGAATGAATTATTTAAATAAATTTTGTTCAACTAAAACTGATTTTGACTACTGAAAACTAAATTTAGTCTTACTAGAACTGAAATTTACTACTAAATTCTATAGTCATACAATAATAATAATCTTGCTTGTCTAAAATTCACTTTTACTACTGAAATATGAGTTTAAATAAAACTAAACATTTCAGTCTGACTATAACAGATTTTTACTACTAAAAGATTAATTTCAATAAATAAACAAAATTTTGTCTGATTAAAATAAAAATTTACAGATTACGAAACTGACCTGCGTCTGACTACATCTGATTTTTACTACTTAAAATATTAATAAAATCTTGTTTGCAAAAAAAAACCACTTTCACTACTTACAATAAAGCTGACCTGAGTCTGACTAAAACTATCCTTTACTACTGAAATCTGTATTTAATGAATAATTGAAAAATCTTGTTTAACTAAAAAAGACTTTGATTACAAAAAACTAAATTTAATAAATAAAGAAAATTTCAGTCTGACTACAAGGGATTTTTACTACTGAAAAATGAAAAATTTACTATTGAAAATTACATTCGAAATTCTTTGAATAAAATTTTACAATAAAAATATTATTTTACTAAACGTCTCTTATGTAATTTAATAATAATAATAATATGATTTAAATTGTATTTTGTTGTATTTCACTTTGTCCTCTAAAATATTTATCGATTGAAATTTTAATTGACTTTCAATTTTATTAATCCTGAGTTTTTAATATTAAAAATTTTAAGTATTCTACTTTTGATCAAACTCAATTATACTTGATCATATAACAAATAGGAAGTAAATTTTAATAATTTATAAATAAAATCAAAATTTCAATTAATTTTAATTTCAATTAATTTTAAATCAATTCAAATCGAAATAGTTCTTGATTTAGAACCATTTAAAATTTAAGTAATGCAAAGTTCAATCGTCCTTGGATTTAATTCATGAAAACTTTATAAAATATAAATTTTTAATTACATTTTCCAATTAATCAAGATGAATTTTAATTATTACAAAATGTCAAATTTAAACACTACTGAAACTTTAATAATTCATTAATTTGAATTGATGAAAATTGGATAATTATTTCTCACTTTTTAAATAATGACAGAAAATTAATAAAGAAAAATTGTCTTCTACTTCATCTGCGAAATTCGATAGATTCTAATTTCAGTTCATTACAACAATATTTCTAAAATAACTGAAATATCTGTAACTCCTCGTGAAATTTTAATTTCTTTCATGGATTTAGTGCATTGGATTATTGCAGAAATTGGAAAAATTGATTTTTATTTCATTTCTCTACTTTGCACTACTTATTATGATTTAAATAGACGAATTATTGTCATTTAATTTTACATCTGATGAAATTTTCTTTTGTTTTAATTTTTCTTCTAGTTCTCAAAGTTCACTAGGGTAAATTTTAAATAGGTAAATTTTAATGTAGTCGAATTTTAATTAAACCGAATTTTAAATTAACCGATTTATTAGTTTTTTTGAAGTTTTGTTATTTAGAGGAATTTTTATTCAGTCCAATATTCATTTAAAAAAATATTCATTTAGATCTAAATCAATCAATTATATTCTAATTATAAATTAATATTTCGAAAATTTTCTTCTTAATGAATTTCGACTTAATTAAAATTTGAAAATTTTTGACAAATTTCCTTCATGTGTACATTATAAAAGAAAAAAAAATTCCCCTTCTTTCATCTTTTATAAAATCTTTACGCAATCTAAAGTGTAAAATATTTTCCAATCGAAATTTTTACCTTGATTTTATGAAAATTGGATTATTCAAATTTAACAGTTTGATAACATGAATTCTTTGTGAAACTTGAAATTTCATTTCCCCTTTTATGTATATGTATATAGAATTCTGTTTGAAATAAAGTAACGTTCAATTTTTGCTGACAATTTTTTTTTTTTGCAAGTATCCTTAAAATTTACTGGGAAAAGAAAATCTAAAGAATGGGATTTTTCTAGAACTCAAAAAAATTTTTTGTAGTATTAGAAATTGCTTTTCAATACTTCACAAATAAATTAACAAATTTCCAAAATAGAAAAAAGAAATTAATACAAAATAAATAATTTTATATTTGAATTTCTATTTTCTGTTTTCTTCAGTTTTATAATAAACACAAAAATAAAATTCAGTTTAAGAAAATATATTTCGATCATTTGAACGACCTACGCCGTACGTACCTTTAGACCGATAAATAAAGTTTTAATTAAATTTCTTTAAAACTACATAATGGTCCGGAGAATCTTCACCGCAAATCTTGAACTATTATTTTCTTTTAAAATGACAAAAAGTAATTACTTCATGCCATTCTCCAAGTTAAATAAATTAATTACCTTTTGAGAACTTAACTTTTCTTTTCTTAAAGTTTCAACTAAAAACTTTTTAATATGAGGGAATATACTGAAGAAAAATGCATATATATATATATATATTAAAATAAAAATGAAACAGAAAACAGTTAATATGACAGTATAAAAGTTTTTAACTTACGATACAAATAAAAAAATTGTGAAATTAATATTTTAACTTAATTTTTAAAAGCCATTTTTCGATTAATACTTTTAAAACTGTTTTTCAAATTTCTCTCTAAAACAATTCTCTGATATTATCTTTCATAATTATTTTCTAATATTATTTTTGAAAATTAATTTTTAATGTTCTTTTCCAAATTAGAGCCGACTAAATTATTTATTTCAAATTATTAATATACTTTCAAATTTATTTTAAATTTTAATTGATTTACATAAAAATTGTTTTCTTAAAAAATATTTCTGAAATAAAATGTTTTCTTATAAAAAACGAATATTGTAGTAGACTCTGAGATAAATACACTTTCATTTTACCCAAATAAATAATATTTGGTTTAAAATTTTAAATAAAACATTTTTACAAATTTCCATTTTTAATTAATTTTAATCACTATTAATAGTAATAAAAATGATTAAAATCAAAAAACGCAAATAAATTTGTCTCACTTTTAAATTACCTAATACTCTTAAATTGATTATTTAAAAATATTTTTGAAATAATTATTGAAAATTCTTTTTGAAAATTAATTTTCAATATTATTTTCAACATGATCAGAATTTTTGTCGCATAGAAATTTCCGGGGAAGAGAAAATATCAGAAAAGTACTCACCGTGAACGTCTAATCTGATGTCAATTGTGAGAGGCTCAGCAAGAGTAAGACTGCTGCTGATCTTGCAAGTAAGGTTAGCGCCTAATTCACTGCGTGTAACCTGCAGATTCAACAGGCTGCTTCCGGTGCCGATTCCATTTTCTTCAACTTGCGACGTGCTTTCCGCTGCAATAAAAGTAAAAAATAATTTTCAGGAAATTGCCCGCTCAATATCTGACAGAGGATCACTGATAATATTGATTAACCTCAAAATCAAATTATCTCAAAAAAAAAGAAGAAAAATAAATTTAAAAAATTCACTGAAATAATTATTGGCTCCATATTGCTCCGCTAGGTTCGGAATATTGCGCCGCAATATTGCAATAAAAAATGCTTTGCAAAAAAAAAAAACTTAAATGCTTTTCTTTTTTCAATTTTCATTTATTTTTTCAATTATTTTTAATTTTTAGTTTCAATAAATTAACATAGGCGAATTTGGGGCACTATTGCATGGCAACGTTGGAGTAATATTGCACGGAAATATTAAGATAATATTGCTTAAACATTGCTGCAATATTGCTAAAAATATAATTGAATAATAAAAATAAATAAAAAATTACCTTCTAAAAATTAAATACAAAAAATAAAAAGTTGCACGAAATAGAAAAATAATATTGCACGAAATATTAAAATAATACTGCCCTAACATTGCTGCAATATTGCTTGAAAAATAATAATTTATAAAATACTACAAAAATAAATAAAATGCTTTTTTGTTTCCTAACTTTATAAAAAAATTTCTTTTTAAATATTATCAATTTTAAAATTAATGTATTGAAAATCATTGAATTCTTGCAAAGAATTTTATCAAAAAATTTGAAGAGAATAATTGAATTTCTTCGAAGAATTTTTTTATTTATGAAAATAATTGAATTTTCGTGATGAATTTTATTAAAATTTTTAAAAATCCTAATTAATTTCTTTTGAAGAATTGCTTTCAATTTTTTTAAATAATGAAGTTTGTTTATTAATTTTAATTTAAAATTTTGAAAGCAATTGAATTTAATTAAAATTTTATATTGAGAATAATTAAATTCTTAAGAAAAATTTTATTATTTATAAAAACAATTTAATTCTTGCGAAGAATTTTACTATTTATAAAATTAATTGAATTGTTCCAAAGAATTTATTAACATTTTAGAAAATAAATGAATTTTATGTAAATATTTGAAAATAATTAAATTATTTCGAGGAATTATATTAAAATTATTTTGAAAAGAATTGAATTTGTGCAAAGGATTTTAAAATTTATAAAAATAATAAACATGTTTCGAGGAATTTATTAAACTTTTAAATTGTTGAATTGTTTTGAAAATTTTATAGAAATATTTGAAAATAATTAAATTATTTCGAAAAATTCAATTAAAGTTGATTCGAAAATAATTGAATTTCTGTAAAGAATGTTATTAAAATTAAGCATATTCAAAATAATTGTATTTTAATTGTATTTTTAATTTAAAAATTGTATTAAAAGTAATTTAATTTCCATGTAGAATTTTTTTAAAATATATTGAGAATAACTGAATGATTTTTAGAAAATTTTAAATTCTTGTTGAAATTGAATTTTATGGAAATTTTTGAAAATAATTAAATTATTTCGTGTAATTTTATTTAAATTCGATTAAAAACAATTTAATTCCTACAAAGAATTTTAGTATTTATAAAAATAGTTGAATTGTTTCGAAGAATTTATTAAAATTTTAGGAAATAATTGAATTTATGGAAATATTTGAAAATATTTTAATTCTGACGAGGAATTCAATTAAAATTGTTTTGAAAAGAATTGAATTTCTCGAAAGAGCTTTACAATTTATAAAAATAATTGAATTGTTTCGAAGGATTTATTAAAATTTTCGAAGATAATTGAATTCTTAAGTGGATTATTTAAATTTTGATTATGAAATTATTTAAAAATTTTTATTATAAAATAAAAAATTTTGTAATTGCATAACAATAATAAACTGAATATCACGTTTCGCGTGATAGCGCACGTATCATTTGCTAGTAGATAAATAAAATACAAAACAAATAAATAAAAAAAAGTAAAGAAATGGAAAAAAAGAAAAACGAAAATGCAAAAAATACAAAATAAAGTTCATACTTTATTTTGTATTTTTTGCATTTTTATTTTTCTTCTTTATACAAAATACAATTTTTCCAATGTTTCCTCAAATAGTGAGGCAATATTTCCTCCCATATGTATCAAAATAACAAAATTTAATTCAGTTTACGTTTTCTCCTTACGATGAAAGTGTGAAAATCGAAATAATGAATTTTTAAAAGTCAATTTCATAGATATAGAGGAAAAGACGCTTTTAAGGTCGATTGAAAAATCGAGATGGTTTACATTTGAAACAAAATGAAAATTCAAAAAAAAAATAATAATAAGAAAAAAAGGAAGTAAAAATAAAAAAGAAAAACTTACATTCAAGAAGCTTATCGCCGTTGTACCATTCAACGATTGGAACGGGACGACCTTCACTACTCTCGCACCTCAAGGAAATCTTGGTACCATCGTTTATTGGTCCCAAGACTTTTCCTGTTTCGAGAGTTGCTTTTGTATCTTCGTCGATAACACGAACGTACACTGGTTGAACTGAAACAAAAATAGAAAAACAAATATTATAGAAAATATTTTCATTTCATGTTGTCATGGTCAAATATTAAATTAAAATTCTATGAAAAAAAATACAAATTTCCCCTATATAAAAAATATTTATATTCTTTTTCATATTTTTCAATTCTTTTATCATATAAAAATTTTTAATTCTCTTCAAAAATTTTTGAGAGCTGTATAAAATTTTTTTTCCTATATAGATTTTTTCTTACAATTATCGACAATAACTATTTATTACAATTGAAATTACATTCTGTAACAAGAGCTTTAGATTTTTATTTCTAAAAAAAGCACGGAAAAAAAGTGAAAATAAAATAAATTGGACGAAAATAAAGAAACAAAAGAACCTTCACGGATAAAGGAAAACAAGGAAGTGAAAATTGAAGAGGGAAAATTGAAAAGTTCTGCAATCGAGCTTTCTAAAAAAAAAGAGGAAAAAAAGCTTTCAAAACTCGACACGTACTAATGTTGAAAAAAAGGGGTAAAAAAATGCCAAAATCTGTTGCATGGATAAACGAAAAAAAGAGGATTTTATCGAAAAAGAATTTTTGTTTCCTGAAAAAGTATTTTTGTCGAACTTTGACCGTGTTTGTCATATAATTGTCAAAAAAAAGGTAAATTGTAAATTAAGTAATTTGAATAAAAAAAAGTAAATAAATAAATAAATAAATCGTTTGCAAAGAAATTGTCCTTTTTTGTACAATTCTATTTTTTTTTCATTATAGAAATAAAGATTAATTTGAGCATTTAATTAGAAATCATTTTTTCTATTTATCTTTTTTCTTTTCACTTTTTTCTCCCCCTCCAAAGATAAAGAGAAGGGCAAAAATCTATTGTTTTCTCAAGTTGAAAAAAAGATGAGAAAAATGTTTTTGAAAAGAATAAAAATACCTTATTTTCTCAAGGTAAAAAATAAAGTCTTCTATATATGTATGAATAAACTGTTTAATAAATGGTCCTCCCTTTCTAAAAGTTACTTCTTTTCAGGGACATTCTTGTGAAAGAATATAATATGAATGTGTTAGTGTATATGTGAGAGTGATGCACGTGGTATGTTGCACCCTCAGGACTTTTGGGGAGAGGGTCAATGTAGGTCAGGTTACTGAATATTAAATCTTAAGTCGTTGAATATTAAACGACGAGTCCAACTCAAGAGCGTCGTTACCTTCAGAAGGTTAAAAATTTCTCAAATTTTCCAACTCCTTCGAAGACATTATTTTCACATTCCTTTCGCACATTAATACACAATGACATTCCTCTCTTTTTTTTACAAAAATTAATTATTTTTAGAATAAATTCGTAAAAATAAAAAATTTATAGTTTTTTTTTGCAAAATTTTATGCAAATTATAATGCGAAAGTAAATATTTAACACAATTTTTTTCGTAAAATTTAATTTCTATATTAGAAGTCAGTTGATACTAACCAAATAAATAAATAAATAATTATTATTATTATTCATAAAATAAATTTTATTTTAAGAATATTATTATAAAAGATGAAAATACCGATTACTCCGATTCTTCGACTCGGAGTCATCGCTTTCTTCATCTTTTATATAATAATTAAAACTTGCTAATTTGTTAATGTAACATTCGGCAAAAATTATTTTCATCATTTCGATTATTCATTACTAGAATTTTCAACTCAAATTGTTTTTTAATAATTTCTTAAAAAGTTCTTTCAGAGTTTTCAAATCATTTTGTTTACAATTTAATTTCACGAAATTTCGATTACTCTGACATTCTTCAATAATTATAAATATATTAAAAATTCAAAACTTCAAATAATTAAAAAAAATTCCACTAAACTTTTTGTAAAAAAATTAGTTCTACAGAATTCTTAATTAAAATTTAAAAGTATGAAAAATTCAAATTGTCAAAGATTTTAATTATTGAAACTTTTTGAAATTGCAATTATTTCTCAAAATTCAAGCTTTTAATATTCAATTATTATCTAAAGTTATAACTGAAATACATTTTTAAATCAATATTTATTAGAAAATTCTACGAGAATTCAATTATTTAAAAATACAAAAATATTTTATTATATTGAATGTTTCTTAAAATTGGATTTTCATAAAGAATTTTATTAACAAAATTTTAAATAATTAAATTCTCTTGACAAATTTTAATAAAATTTTTCAGAATAATATTATTTTTCGAGAAATTTGATGAAAATGGTATTAAAAATAATTGAAATTCTGACAAGAATTTTATTAAAATTTTTAAAAATAATTGAATTTTGGAGAAAAATTTTATTATTTATAAAGATAATTGAAATTTTGACGGGAACTTTTGTAAATTTTTCAACATAATTGAATTTCTGCGAAGAATTATATTATTTTTGAAAATAATTGAATTCTTGAGATAAATTTTATTAAAATTTCTTTTTCAATAATTGAATTCTTTTGTAAAATTTTATTCATATAGTAGACATTGAAAATAATTGCATTTTGACAAATTTCTGAAATTAATTAAATTTCTATGAAGAATTTTATTAAAATTATTTTGAAAAAAATTGAATTGTTACAAAGAATTTTATTAAATTTTTTGAAAATAATTTAATTTTTTGAAAAAATTTAATTCAAACTTTAGGTATTGAAAATAATACTTAAATTCTAATAAACAAATTGTAGCAAAGGTTTTTAAATTAATTGAACTTCTGCGATAAATTTTAATATAATTTTTAAGAAAAAATTACATTTTTCGAGGAATTCCATTAAAATTGTATTAAAAATAATTGAAGTCTGACAATGAGATGATTTTTAATATTTATAAAAATAACAAAATGTTTGCGTATAATTTTATAAAAAAATTTAGGAAAATAATTTAATTTCTGATTAAATTCATTTAAAATTGAAATTCTACGATAAGTTTTGTTATTTATGAAAATAATTGAATTTTTGCAACGAATTTTATTAATTTTTTTTAAAGAATTGAATTCCTGTGAAGAATTTTATTTGTGAAAATAATTGAATTCTGAAGAAAAATTTTATTATTTATGAAAATAATTAATTTTATTAAAATTGCAAATTTTATCAACTAAATCTTGTAAAGAATTTTGTCAAAATTTTGTAAAATAATTTTATTTAAATTTTGCGAAATAATTGAATTTCTCAGAACTATTCTTTTAATTCTCTGAATATATTTGAATTCTTTGGAGAAACTTAACTCAAAATGTAAAAATAATTAAATTGGTGCGAAGAAATTTATAAAAAATTGGTAAGTAATTGAATTCCTGTTAAATTTATATTAAAATTTTGTTTAAATAATAGAATGCTTTTGGAAATTTTTTATTAAAATAGTAGGGGAACATAGTCTAGGTCGGCCACCTTTTTGACTTTTGTTTATAACTTTTTTTTAAAAATGAATTTGGACAATTGAAGTATATGGTTGGAAAGTCCTGTTTAATAGGAACATTTTTTCTGTACAAAGTAAATTGACAGGTTTAAAAATGAAAAAGTTATAAAGATTTAAAAAAAAAAAAATTTGTAGTCCAGGTTGGCCATTACAGTCAAGGTCGGCCATGTTTAAAATTCAAAGGGCATTAATCGTTAAAAAATAAAATAACATGTTTGGAGTTACGGAAAATTGATTCTTTATTGTTTACAGTTTGTAACTTAATGAAATAACAAAATAATAACAATAAACAATATAAAAAAATAAATATAAATAAAAAAAAGTTTTGCACTAAAATATTAATAAAATTAAATAAAAATATTAATAAGATGATCAATTATATTATGAGTTATACAGAATTGCAGTTTTTGCAAATGAAGTAGCTCGTCCTCAACTTTGCGCATTTTAAACACATAGTGGCCGACCTTGACAGTAAGTAACATTACCGAATTGTTGTAAACAAAAAGAAATACGTTTCGGGATTCGATTTTTTACTTTGTTTTCCTTTCAACCATGAGTCCCACAAATTTTCTGCATACTTGCCTTGACGATTCAATTTGTTTTTTATCTTTTATTAATGGTTTTTCACATTATGCACAAAACTTTTTTTGAGCTTTTTTTGTACCGACGTCACAGAAAACACAATTTTCGATTTTCCGAAAATGTAATTGAACAAAAAGTTAGGTTTCACTAAGACAAGCTTCGACAAAAATGCGCGTAGGTGGCGCTAGTGAACTTGACAAAAAAACGCGAGTGGCCTACCTAGACAGTAGGCCAACCTTGACTACATTCCCCTAGATATTAAAAATAATTGAAATGAGGAAAGTTTTCCAAAAAAAATGAAATTTTTCCAAGAATTTTATTAAAATTTTTCAAAATAATTGAATTTTGGAGGAGAATTTTATATTATTTATAAAGATAATTGAAACCTTTGAAGAAGTTCATCTATTTATAAAAAAAAATTCTAACGCAATTCTTTTAAAATTGAATTAATTTTGAAATATTGAAGTAAAATTAGATTTCAAGAATAAATACAATAACTTTAGACCCTATTTTAAAAATAGAAAAATCTCGAGTAATTTTTTGCCATTTCACTTAATTAGAGAAATAAAAATCGAAAATATTCTAATAATGGAAAAATCTTTTTTTTTCTCTTTCTTTATAAAGTGACAAATGTTTTGATTTATGTAAACATACTTTTCACCCCTCAAGAAGAAAAAAAAAGAGAAGAGGAAAAAAGTCAGGTTATTCGTAAGTATTACTTGGGGGTTCTACATCCTTTTTTATGTGTCATTTGATACATAAGAAATCGTTGAACCCATTTCTACGGGCGTCTGTTTGACGATATTGGATTTTTGTATCCCCAGGGTAAAAACCTGACGATGACAACTTTCTTAATTTCATCTCTTCAAGGAGCCTTTATTTTCTTTCAATGTTCCACTCAATTTTATCTCCTTCACACAAGATTAAATTGTTATTCATCGCTTTATATACAGATAAATTAATATAAATTACTTTTAAATTCGCAATTTTTTTCCAGTTAGGGATTTTTTTTCATATTCAACTTGAAATGGGGCTC